GACGGTGCGAAGATGCGTTTTTTGCAAAGTTCCCCGCAGGTCTTTGTCGCTAACGGCACCGGTTTTTCTTGCAAATGCTTCAAGCTAAGATAACTGAGACTGACCACCAGGGCTATCTGAAAACATCCCTTTAGAATTTCAGCTTTCTAGCTTTCCTAGTTTCTGAGTTGGCAACTTACCCCTAAAAAAATTTCATGGGCCCGTACATAGGAACCACCCATACCCGTGAACTCAGCGTAAACACATTAAGATCTAAGTAGATGTGGAAAATCCCCTTAAAGTTCCAGTCTTCTAGCTTCTCAGGTTCCCAAGAGAGAAAGTTGCTTGGAAAAAGCCTTGACGGGCCGTGAGTACTATGCATACGCGAGGGCCAGTTTTCAATCCACTAAAACCTATTTGGACGGGGGAACATCCCCTTAAAATTCTAGTCTTCCAGCTTTTCAGGCTCCCGAGCTAACATTTTAACCGAAAAAAACTTTGGCGGGCCCGCATGTAAATACCACGCGGGTAAAAACGCCCATCTTGTAGATGGGGCCCGTACACGCATTAAGTAGATTAAGTTTCCAAAGTTTCAGCCCTATAGCCTTTGTGGATCTCGAGATGAAAAATCGGTAAAGATCCACAGCGCACACAGACACACACACACACACAGACAACCTCTAGTCAATATGCGTTTCCTGCATTGCACAGATGCAAAAAAACGCATAAAAAGAAGCGAAGCTGCATGCAAAGTTTTTCAGTCTTAAATTACAAGACTTCTTATTATCATGATTATAAAGAAAATGAAGGACAATTCCATACCTTTCGCATTTTTGCGTTATATTTGGCAAAATCATACGCGCCCTCGGTGAATGGACTCAATGCGACAACATTTGCCTGATACATAGCCTCAAGGACAGGTGAAGGCGCAATGACAAATGAATCCGAGTTGCATTTCTGCAAAAAGCAAATGCATTTTCGAATTTTTTGCATAAAAAATCAAAGTCAAAAACAAATTTCCCTTTTCCCTCCGGGGCTTCTTACTCGGAAGTTGCTTTCACTGGCTGCCAGAGCTGTTGAAGCTTTTTTCTGGTACTGCTTATAAGCAAGCATGATATCGTGACCTCTTGGCACAAAAAAATAACAGTAACCAAAACGACTCGCAAAAACAGTCGTACTGAATTTCATTTCGAAATTATTGGGCTTTTTTCAAGTTTTTATGCGTTTTAGCTGTGCAGCGCTATAGCGTTGCTACAGCGACCAAAAACGCATATCGTCGAGAGTTCGACTGTGCGTGCGTTCGGAAGCGAATGGACTTTGTCATCCACGTTCAATCAGCAACCAGGGAAGCTAGGATGTTGAAATTTTGGGTATATATTCCTACCCCGTGTATCATCCTCCCGTTTTAAAATTTTCGCTCATACGCGCCTAGACCTCGCGTAGGCTCCCCTCCCCTCCCCCGAAAAAATATGCAAATTTCTTTGGCTAGAAGTGATTTTGGGGACCAGATAAAAGAGAAAGCTGACATTCTGCAGTGATAATCTGTGTTTGTGTGAGCTAAAGATTCAAATTCAGTGACTGCACACGCTTAGGTAGCGTGTATAGTCACGTCAAGTGGCTGAAATTTTGTCGGAATATTTATTGTCCATGTGGGAAATCGTATATCTGAGTTCCGATTTGCACTTGTGCAACGACTTAGGGCGCTTCAAAAATATTTGTAGCGAAGTGGCTATTTCATTTATCGGATAATTTGCGCGACTGAAACTTCGCTGGGATATTCTACTTTCAAGTGCGGTATTAATTATGCCTGGAAGTGAAATTCCCTGTAGGTGGGCATGAGAAATGCTCAAACTTAATACAGACTCATAAACGAGTACATTTTGCAGCGGATGTCCGCCCTCATCCTCTCCCAACACTCAGTTCATTTACATATTTGGATTTTTTGACGAACGACTCCTCTAGCAACATTTTCACTTTTCAGTGGAGAACTGAAACCTTTGCATCTTCAAAAACTTGCATTTTCCATTTTTTCAAAAAGCGAGCATTTACCGGAAAAACGATCAGGCTTCATGCAAAAAACTAATAATCATGTGCCTGGAGGCCCATGCGACCTTATAATGAAACACCTTCATCCCAACCGACGTCCTTTTTCCTGCAGGCCGGAAAAATTCAAAGCAAGGCCAATACAAGTCCAAGTGTTAGGTTACAACGTAAGGCTCATTCCTACTAACAGCGATCTGCGAGTTTAGTGCAAAAACGAATGATCGCATCGGCAAGCCTGGTGCGTTCCAGCCTGGGTTGAATTTTCATTCTAAAGCTACCAAAATTATCCATCATCTACTGCTTGCCTGTAATCACTACCGTTAGGACGAAACTTTTGGTTTCTCATGCACAACTATATAGCAACAAAAAAAGCAGACTAACGAACCATACAACGAGAAAAGATGTCCTCTTTAGACAGATGCATATTGAATTG